ATGCTGCAGTCAGCAGCCAGCCCAGGGGGGCGAAGGCGGCCCTCGCTAGTCGCCTCGGCTCTGGGCACACCTCTGCTGGCACCCAACGCTTACCACACACCCGAGCCCTAGACCCGAGGTGGGAACCAGGCCTCGCGCACCGAGGGGGGGGCAGCCAGCGAGAAGCCGGGCCTCCGCTCGGCTCAGGCCGCCTCCCCCAGCTGGACCTTTCAAAACCTCCTCCCAGTTCAACGTGCCTTTGGCGCCACCTAGTGGTCACTGTGGGTTTTCCTCCAGCAGAGGAACTGGGTCCCGAACTTCGGGAAAGCTTTTGGGTTTTATACCAGCAAAACCAACCAACCAACCAAAAATGCAGTTTAACCTGGAATCTGCTCCCATATTCCCCAGGCCCCGCCCCACCTTCCTGTTAGTTACTGACAGGGACTCAGGGGATTGGCCCACCACCAGGGGGAGCCAAACAGGTTAGCCTTTTACCCCCAAATGAGCCAAGCCACAGCATAGAATGTGCACCCCTTTTCCCTCCCTGCTCCTCCAGCTCCCCCTGGGTCCCCCATGGCTCTGCAGACCCTTGCACTCCACTCTGCAGGGAGCAGCACATGACTGGCTCTCACAGCAGTGAGCCAGGCTGTCCTAGAGTCCTTCCGACCTTGAGCCAGCTACACTGCTGAAGGCAGCAGATCTCTGAGAGAAAAGTGGTGGCTGCCCAGCCGTCAGTCCCCGGGCCATTTGCTGACTTGGAAAAATGTGTCATTCCCCTCTGGCCTCTGGAGTTTGGCAGAAGCCTGAGTGGAATGCTGACCAGGAGGAGCCTGGAGCTCCGGCTGCTTAATCAGGCTTCTCCCCCTCTTCAGGGGGCTCAGAATGGGCAGCTAAGTCAGCAGCCCCCATAGGTAGGGGCCCACAGGTGTGCCAGGGACAACACTGGGGCCAGTAGACATGCATGCAGACATCAGGAGAGAATGGAGGCCAGACCTTCTCTAGACAGCAGAGCTAGGGCAGCCTTTGGTAGTT